GTTGGCAGTGGAGCAAGACAAGCTGCATGTCCCTGAACTGCTTCAACCCTTCTCAGCTGATTTTCTAAGTTCTGATGAAGTTTCTTGTTAAGCTTCATCTCCCTGAGTCACGTGAGTTTGTGTCCAGCCAAACTTTCAAGAGAAGCATGAATTTTTCAAAGCCAGTTTGGGGATGGGAAGAACAGAACTGTCCTGCATCCAATGTGGATGAAGACTGTCTGGAGGGGAGAGGTCCCAGTGCTTTTTTCCTTGCCCAGATGGAAATGCCCTTTCTTCCAAGCTGTGTATATACCTGGTCCTTCAGACTGGCCACAGGGACACCACAGTGCATGGTAAAGGATTAGTTAATTTCCTTCCCTTCACCTCTGGAAGGTGTTTTGATTAGCATAATCATTGTGTTCCCAAATTAGCTTGTGCTCCTGCTTTGCCCTTAGGCTGGCTTTTCCTGTTACAAGCCTGCTCTGGCACAGTGATACAGTTTTCCACTGCAGTATCACAGCTTACATCTGTATGGATCCAGCCACACTCAGTCTTCCAGCTGCCCTTCCTGACTGACCTTATGCTGATGCTGAGTCCTGTGCCTGGCAAAGCTGCATGGAAACTACAAACACCCCAAGCTTTGTTGTGAGGCTTGGGGGACCATGGCATGTGCTGGACCAAGATCAGCAGCAAATAGGACAATAGTGCATCTTGCTCCCTGCCATCGTGGCAGAGGCTATATTAGCTTCTGGCATGGGCTGAGGTGCACAGCTCTGGTATCTCAAGCCATCCTAGCTAAACAGGTCTTAGTCCATCTTGCACATCCTCTGCTAGTCACTCACCTGCTTCTGTTTTCCTCATGCCAGGAATCACTCTCAACTGAAACAATGCAAAGTTCTGGGAAAGAATTAACATGAGAATGTGAAATACTTTCCAAGTGTCAACAGGATAGACACACAAGCACATAGAGTGATTAATCAGGGGCACCTGATTTCATGGCTCCTGAGCGCTATGGAGAGCAAGAGCTGCTTGCAGAGTAGGCAGGCAACTGAGTAGCTGAAGTTACGCGTTGGCACGTCTCCTTGGTGTCAAGCCTTATCCACACAAGATATATCTGGGGGTCTGAAATCAGATGGTTAACACTCCTACACTGCTGGCTGAGCCACAGGAGGTGGGGTACCTTCACAACCCTCCCTCTGTTTAAATTTTCACACAGAACAGGTTTAAGTTCTGCTTAAAACATCTCCAAAGAGGGATAGAGGAACTGATGAAGCATACAGATATTTGACCTTGCCCCATTCCAAAGCTCATGTCATCATGGCTTGAGATTACCCAGAGCAATCTTCCACCAGATTTCAGATGGGCTTACATAGTGGGAGCCCAGTTATGGCCAGGAGGGCAGAAGAAAGATGCCCCAAGAACACGATGTTCTTGATGAGGCCAGTGGGCAATGTGGGAAGTAGCTGGAGCTGGGGAGGAGAGAAAGAGGTTTCCTTCTCAAACCCTTCATCAGCTAATTTAACTCCAAGCTCCTTACCAATGCCATCTACTTCTGTAAATAGTTCAATCATCAGTGGGCCCAAAGATGAAGTCATTGAACTTTTGGCTTCTGGTGGCTGCCCGGCTAGTGCTCCTCCTGCCAGCCTTTGGTGCAGCTCATGAAGCAGAGCTGTAGGGATGGGAGAACAGCAGAATAGGAATCTAAGGTGTGAACACCACGACTTTCCTGGAAAAGTGTTATTTTACAAACATCCAGGGCAAAGCCCAGCTGTGAGACACAGGGATTTAGTGCCTGCTGAGAACTGGGCTGTCCCACTGGTCCCTGGCTTCTAGCCCACCGAAGTGGGGGTATCCTGCAGGTCCTGGTTCATATTTCATATTCAGGTTGTAATTTCCAATCCCACATGGAGGTAGGTGGAACGGGGGCTTAGGGGAGGCTGAGCAGGAGGTGTACTGCTCCCGAAGCAAATACAGCTGTGGCATGGTGCATTTTCTAATCCAAGCCTCAGCCATGCCATCGCAGAAACATGAGCAAGGAAGGAGAGGAACAATCTAGAAACTCTTGCACTGTGCTCTGCTGCAGCATCCACCTCTAATTTCCATCACTAGAGCAGGGCCGCTACTTATTAAACCCAGACAAGCGAGTGCTTGGCAAGGCACGCAGGCCAGGAGGGACCACCAGGGAGCCAAGGGGAGGCGAGACATACTGATTTCTGCTTTTATGAAAAAGGAGAGGCTGCTTCCAGAGTCTTCAAAGGGATTGAGTGTGGATGTGGGGCCACTTGGAGGATCGGCCTGGCTGGCAGACAACACAGCATTATGTCCATAGCGCGGGCAGCAGGCCACATCTGGAGCAAAGGACTGCTCTGCTCTTACTCCTACCAGTTTTTGGTGTATTCCTGTAGCAGTAAGTATGCCATGGTGGGAGTGAAGGGAGCAGGCACCTCCACACCTCCACAAGGGCTCAGGATCAAAATGCACCACCAGGCCCAGGCAGAGATGACTACTCTCCTAGAAGAAAGCACAAGCCATGCCTGTCTGTCTGCTCAGCTGCAGCCTGGATGCAGATCTCATGGGGAATGGGATGAAGCATTTGATTGGCTCCCCCCAGGTAGGATTTCACGGTCATCTCTGCACAACTGAGCCTGGACCTTCAGAAGGAACTGGGCTGCAAGGGACCTCAGGGAGCCCTGCAGACCTTGTGGCAGCATTTGTTTGATGACTGCTGTGCAGAGCTAAAAATACTCCAGCTATGGTTATGAATTTAGGATAACTAATACATCCAGTGAAAGATTTGGAACTGTTCCAGGGCTAAACAACAGCTTTCTGTGGATGCAAAAATAACTAGGAACTGAAAAACTTAAGCTGGAGCAGGTAATTTTCAAACTGAACTAAAAAAAACTTTCTAGCGGTGAAGATGACCATGAAAAATTGCCAGGACTTTGGTTGTTTTAACAACAGCATACACAGACCTCTGGATTTGGGCTGGATACTGCCTCTGGGCAGGAGTTGGGAAAATTAGTATTTAGGGAGAATGCCTTAGTTATGAAGTAAAAGCAAATTACACTGATAATATGTTATCCCAGTGGCCTGGATCAACAGCATAGTGCAAGAATCAGACAGAAACACCATGATGGGAGGTATACACTTGATATCTTAAAAATTGGGGTGAAAGACACAAGAATAGACCGACTGAGGATGCTGGGAGGACTGCTGTGGTGTGAGTCAGCTTCCAGCCATGTAGGGGTTAGCTGGTAAGCAGAGGGCAAGCAAGGGTTTCATACATCTGTCTACAGACCCGAAACACAGCTAAGGAAGGAGCAGAGGGAGCTGTCCTCTGAGAACATCTGTGCCATGGTGGCAGAGGACACCCAGGATCACATTCCAGCTCTGTCTGCCTGGGGTTTCACCCCATGCTGTCCATTTCCCCATACATATGTCCCTTGCTCTGTCCTTGCTCTTGTTCCATGCTGAAACAGACACTCAATTATTCATTTGGCTGGAGATCGTAAGAGTGAGCCCAGCTCCCCATGCCCCGGGTGCTTGGCTGGGGCAGTGCCTGCCAGTCCCTGCCCCAGCAAAAAATGAAGTAGATGGTGCTTTGCTAAGAGAGCTCAAAAGAGCCCAGTCTCATGTCTCTCATGTCCAGCAGGCATGAGAAAACAGCCCTAGCCCCCAAGGATGCTCAGGGCAAGACGGGTGGCTGGGAAGGGTGCCTGGCTGTAGCCAGGGAAACAGAGGTCTGCGGTGCTTAGGACTTCAGTGCTGTTCAGCCCCTGCATTCCTCCTTCAAAGTGCTTTGGTTTGGAGAAGGTCCTTAGTGAGTTTAATGAGCTGATGATCCCAGGTGGACTGGGGTAGAGCTGGATCCCAAACCTTTGTGCCTTTGCCTGGAGGCATCATAGCCGTCATGGGTCTTCCCACCCTAGGTCCGGGCCGAAGTGGTGAGCCCTGCCCTGCCCTGTCTGCTTTGCCTACAGCCTGTTGAAAAGCTTGTAGAAAACCCAAAAGAGCCTCCAAGTTCTCATTAGTGCTGAGAAGTATTTGTGCCTATTTCAGGTTCCTCTGCAGAAGCCATATTACCATAATTAGTTGAAATGTTTCTCCATTAGCATATTTTTCCTCTTCTTCCATCACATCAGCCTGCATGAAACAGTAAGTTATTCTCCCCTTGCCATTGTGTCAAGATGTACCAGGCTGTGGGCAGGACCTGCTGCCCTCCCCAGCCTGGCCTCAATAGCATGGCTTGTTCTCTGTGCAAGGGGCAAGGATCTAGTGGCAGCTGATGTAAATCCCAGGAACACCGCTGACAGCAGCCTCAGTTGCCACCCCCTGAGAAGGTCTGGCCACTGAAATACAGTAATGTGCAGCATCTCCTGAGGACGCCCTTCTCCAATGGTTCAGCCTAATGGTTGGTTCCGATGTGAAGGGAGCCCCTTCTAACCCTTACTTTTCTGGAGCATCCAAATCACTTCCAGATAGCTAACTCCCTCCGGTGCGAACAGGCACATGGGTAATAAACCTTGCATTTCTTCTACCCCGCCATGGGAGGTCACAGCCAGACCAGGAGGCACACAGAGGGCATGTACCGAGAGTTCAGCCACCATACGGGGTGGCACTGGCTATCGGGGGCACGGTTTTCTCCCTGTCCTGGGACCCACAAGCTGGTGGATGATGGACCAGTCCCAGCGCTGTTTACCCATACAGCATTTGCAAACCTTGAAAAAAGGCTCCTTGCCGGGAGCAGCCATCTTTCGGGTCCAATCTGCTTCATGGTGCCCACACTCAGCCCTCGAGGAGGGTCCCAGCGTGGAGCAGCACCCCCAATCCTTCCTGAGAAGTCCTCGAATTCCCCAACCATCTTCTTCCCGCTATGCCTCAGGGATGACGCTGACATCCTCAGCAAAGGCCGGCGGGCAGCCACCGCCTGCGCAGGCCGATCCCTGGCAGCTCAGCCCGGGGGCAAAGGTCCGCGGGGATCCCCGGGCCCGGGGCGCTCGGTATCCCCTCCCCAGCCCACCTCCTCCCGACGCCCGCTCCAACCGTACGGCTCCGCGGCGGGCAGCGGCGAGGGAGAGACGGGGACCCCGCGCCCCCGCCCCGCCCCGTTCCGCCCCGCCACGCTGAGTGGGCCCCGCGGCGCGGAGCGGCGGGGCGGGACGCGGCGGCCGAGCCCGGCGAGACAGCGGCGGAAAGTGCCACGACTCCACACGTCTGCAGCAGCGAGGAGGGACCGCGACCCGGCACGGGTGGGTAGGGGCTGCGGCAGCCCTTCCCTCAGCCCTTTCCCCTGCCACTTCTTCCACGACTCCTCTCCGTCTACCCCGCGCTGCGAGCGGGACCCCCCGCCCGGCGCTTCCCCCATCCCCAGTAGCCAGCAGTCGTGGAGCGGGGTGAGGACCTCCCCCGCGACCTGCAGCCCCGCCGCTCCCGGCGCGGAGGGGTGTCCCGCGGGGAAGCAGGGCAGGGAGGAAGGTGGGATCCCGGGCTCGGGGTCCGGCCACGTTTGCAGAGGGCCGGGTAGATGAATGGCCCGCGGCGCAGCGAAGGCTGCGTGGAATGGCGGCGTGTGCAGCCGGGGAGCGGGGAGGCGAGGTCCGGGCCCCGCGCCGCCCTCGGGCCCCGAGCACCGCCGGCCCTGCCCCAGCGCCGGCGCGATGACATGCATTAATCTGATTAATCGCAGTTACAGAAGGTCACGGCGCTCGGGCCGTTGTCCTTGTTTATTTTTTTCTCTTAACTAAGCCCCCTCAACAAAACTCTCCTGGCACCGGGAAACCCCCGGCAGTGCGGGGTCCCCGAGCTTTTGGAGAGTGGCGTCGACCCCATAGGCGGAGACCCCTCGCCCCCACCCTGGGGTCTTTCCAACCTGGACATCACCAGGCTTCCCGCGGGTCTGCCGACGGAATGCCCCACTCCTCGGCCGTTGGGGAAGCAGTCCAGGGGGAGAGCGTGTGCTGAACACGTGGCTGGACGCGACGGAGAAGCCTCCACGCCTGGAATGTCAGCTCTGCCCTTCACTGAAGCAATGGCAGTGGCCTCTGCTCACCTGCATCATCGGGAAATGGCTGGAAGGAGTTGGGGCTACCTAGAAAGTGAGCCCCCGGGAGAAGCTGATGAGGGCCAGCTGCTTTGGGCCAGAGAGGGGAGAGAAAATTTGTAGTAGCTGCCTCAGAGAGTAGTCAAACTGCAGCTGTGTTATGGTGCTGTTATGCTCTTCTCCTAAATATATATGTGTGTGTGTGTATGTATATATATATGTATTTATATATATGTGTATATATATATATATATGTATTTTCTGCCTGTTTTTTCACTCCGGGGCTTAGGAAGGGAGCTGGCAGCACTGCCAAGCACTGCTGGCAAGCACAAGCTAGCTGGCAGCTGGCTGCTGCTGCTGCAAGAGCTAATGGAACACTGAGACACGTTCAATTAAGTTGAGCTATAACTGTTGAGGATTGGCTAATCCGGAGTTGCTGTGTAGAGTAACATATGCTGCCGTGAGCCTGCAAGTGCACAGTCACATAGAAAATTTATTTAAACAGAGGCTGCTGGGGACGTGGGCAGGATCCGCTTGTGGTGTGTAGGCTTTCCTCATTTGTTTTTAGTTTTCAATTTATTGCAGTAGGGCAGAGAAAAACTCTAGGAGAAGTATCTGGTGATTGTTTTTTATCTGCTGGCAGCGCTGTTGTTTCTACTGCTGCTGGATTGCCTTGCTGTTCACAGGATTAGGCCTCCCAGTTCCCTCTTCCTTGCCCTTTCCCTCCTTTTTTTAAATCTGCTGGGAGATGTAGAGGAAAGAGAGCTGCAGGTGCTTAACATGTTGTCAGGCATTGCTGTGGGCTATGCAGAACCCATGTCTCTTTCCCTGCCCTCTGCCCCCTCATTACCTCTTGTGTATTGCTCTAACCTGAGATGCCACCTTGACGCCATGGTGAAGTGCAAGTTTTGGGTTGCTAGAGGAACAGCATCCTGCTTGCAAAGAGTGTCTTTTCCCAGCTGCCGCACCTATCAAGACCAGGAGGAGACAACATAGATTTTCCTTTGGCTGTGAAAAGAAATAAGGTTCCTGTAGTTACTGCACAACCTGTCTCTTCCTTTGCTCCTGCCCACCTGACACTTGGCCTGGCTGATTTAAGCCAGGGTTGGTGGAGGGCTGGGTCACAAAGTTACTGAATTCCCGTGGATTTCATGTGTGGTTGCAGAGGGAAGGAAAGGCTGAATAGGTGGCAAGGTTCTAGCCTGGTTTTTGACTCTTAGCTGTCAGTGACAAATGTGACCACAAGACACTGAGCATGGCCCTGGTGCTGTCATGTCACGTGTCTGTGGGTTGGTTCATCCTGGAAATTATTTGGTGCTCAAAAACCAGCAAGGTTGAGTCCTTTACTTTACTTGTTTAGCTTCCTGAAGGCGAGTTCGACTTTTGCTCGGGTCAAATAGAGGTGATGGGACATGCAGGGAGTCGAGGGAGGTCAGATCTCTTGGGCTGTTATCTGGGATGTTGGGAAATCTGATGGATAACAAGCAAAAGCCCCAGGAATGGAAGAGTTGGAGCACAGCATTTCGGCCGGCTCCTTTACGTGACAAAGCCAAGTGAAATACCAGTTGTCCAGCATATTCTTGTTCTTGTGGTGGTGAAAAGCTTTATCTGGACAAGCTATTTTGGAAAAGGAGTTTGCACATGGAAATATTTGATGATTTCCACTATTTTGGCTGGGGAAGGAGTAGAGGATGATTCCACTCAAAAACTTCATGGAGGCATATGCACTCAATGTTGCATGTGAACTTGATTTTTTGAGCATGGACTCTGATAACTGGTGGTGTCTGTGCACCCCTTAGGCACAACCCTCTCCCAGAACAATCTGGGTGTCAGATTGAAAAATGCCATTGTGAGTGCAAAGTCCCGTGGAGGACCAGAAGTTACAGAAGGGAGGATGCTGAAGTCTTCGAGCCTCTTCAAATTGTGGCTGTCAAGCTGAACACATGAGGCTACCCTTAGACATCTGCAAGCAGACAAGCAGTGGTACCTTTGGTGCCCTGTTTTGCCATGTCCTGGCTAAGGCTTTGTGCAGGTGGGAAGCAAGGAGGGCTTTCCTGCCGAAGGGCAAGGTGCGCACACACCTGCCATGGTGCTTGCAAAGGGGACTGCTGTCTTTCTGTGCAAATCCAGGAGCAAACTTTCAGCACTTCAAAGGGCAAAGGTGGCAAAGTCAGGAAATGCCACAGCAGAGCTTCACTCCTGATGCTAATGCTGTGGCATAAACGCTTCTTGCATCTATGCTTCAGTAAGTTCCCAGAGGAAGACTTTTCCTTATCCCCAAAATGCCAAGACCAGCCTGCTTTGATTTAAGTGTGTTGTGGTTGTGTACAGCCTGCTGCTGTCTTCACATCATTGGAGAGATAGGCTCTTCCCTGAACAAGCTGCTGAGCTAGTCGTGCCAAGTCTCGACCGCAGGAGGAACTCTACAGGTAGAACTTGCTCCTTGGAGTCAGCACTGGGTCTGACAGGACCAGCCCAGTGCTGCAGGCTGCAGGGCATGAATGTTGAGACAGGACCAAAGTTTGCCATGATAGTGCTGCTGAGAGTGATTGCTGCCGGGTTGGCATCTCTCACTCTTCACTGTGGATATTCTCCTGGCACACCTGCACGGAGTTTCTCTGGTCCAGAGGTGGGAACTTGGATGGCCCCTGAGAGTATCTCAGCTGCTTTCAGCATCTCAGCTGCTTTCAGGAGCTCTGGCTGCTGCCATGGCTCTCCTGCAGGTTCACAGCTCCTCTATCTAGTGCTCTTGGCTGCTTTTTTCCGGTATTGGTTTGAAGGGGATTGTTGGGGTGTTTTTGTTCAGCTAGGGAGAACTTCAGCTCTAATCTGCATCCTTATCTCACCCTGACTGTAAAGCTGGAGAGGAGGCAAGGTACAGGCAGCTTTTACTGCAGCTGATGGGGCTGGGTAAGGGTGCTTGCAGGGGAGAGGGAGTGTGGGGCTCAAACACTGTAAGGGCTTCTAGGGTTCATCCCTGGAGGGTGTGGGGCAGGCAGAGGGCTCCAGTGCTGTGTTCTTTCACCCATCCTCTGTAGTGGAGGTTTGGATTTTTCTCTCTATTCCCACCATTTTGAGGGTGGCAGTACCAGCTGGTGGGGTTGGAGTGCATTTGCCAGCATTGGGGATGCTCTTGCCCTAAGCTGAAGCAGATTTTTATCTATATATGAAGCTGTGGCAGTGTGAGGTCAGGAAGGGTTTAATGTTACTGATGTGTTTGGGTTGCTGGGTGAGGAATGCAGGTTGCCTTGTTCTGCCCCTAATACAGCTCCTGGGTGCTTTGGTGTAGCCGTAAGTCCAACACAAGGTTGTGGGTATGTGTTCTCCAGCCCTACATTTTATTTACTGCCAGGGAGAGGAAATCCAAGTCCTTTTAATTCCATGGGTTAGGAATAATCTGTCTGTTGGGATCATCCTGAAGCGATGCTACTAGTCAGAAGGCAGTGACTTAGAACCAGTTGTGCTGGGATAGAGTGGGCTAAGGCCATTTAAGTATGAAATGGCCAGGGTAGATGTGAAATAATGATGCCTGTAGTCTCAGCTGGGATCTCGAGTGGTGCTGTGGGGTAGCAAATTGGCCCTGACAGGGGAAGCCGGTTCCAGCTGGTGCTGACAGCCCTCCTGCCTGCCAGCTTCTCTCTCCCGTTTTGCAGGGATGTTTGGAGAGGTGGGCAGGGAGAACTGGGCTGCTGGTTAGAACATCCTTCCCTAGGCGTCCTTCTCCAGTGGGAGATGGGTGCTTTGCAGTTCCTTCCAGCTCTGCACCCCCTGGTCAGGTGTTGGAGGTGAGTTTTTCATTGCATTGTCCCCACCTTGCTGCAGGAGCAGCTTTGAACTGCGGACACAGCTGCAAGTTCACTGCTCCAGCTGTTAGAAAGGAAGAGCCTCTGAGGTGTCTCCCTGCAATCACTGCGGTTTGAAAAGATGCTGATCTCCTTAGTTTTATTCTAATTTTTGCCTCCTCCCTTTCCAGCCCCTCCCTCCTTCCTCAACCCACAACCTCTTAAAGAGGAAATTTGATAATGACTACAGGTAAGCAGGATGAGAATTTCTGATACCCGAGGACTTTCTGCATTTTGCTCATTGTGTTTTGGGTCACAATGACGGGAAACCAGAGCCTTTGCAACTCCTGGAAAGTGCCCCTTCGCAGATTAACTGACACCAGCATCTGGGAGCTCATGAGCCACCTCACTGCCACATGAAAGTGATGACCTGATGGATGAAACACATGCATGGGACAGCAGCAATTGGTTTTGAAACTAGGACAGGGTTCAATTAGCCATTAAGAAGAGTGGAGGTAATAGCATCTTTCTCCAGGTGTGGCTGCACCCTGCTTGCCAGATCTCAGACCAGGCAGTATGGTCTCTGTTGATGCTCCATGTGTTATACAGGTGGAGAAACTGGCGAGGAGGATGAGAATTGCCAGATGAGAATGTGCCCGATTTTCTTGCCAGCTAATAGCAGAGGTGGAAAGAGAAGCACCATATCCAGCACTCCCTTTGCAAGTTTCAGTTCTTCCTGCAGAAATCTCTTTGGAAGATGAAATAATTAATGACCAGGCTTGACTTCTTTTGTTAGCTTGAACTTAAGACTTTTACTGGTAAAAATGGTTGTGACTTGGTCCTGTGTGTGGTGGCCGTGCACACAGCATTGTTGCTGGGGTGGTTCTCATCTGTGGGAGCTGGGAGCAGCTACCTAGTGGGATGCAGTCAATGTGCATCCTCCCTGCCAGGCTGGGCAGAAGTCAGCAGTGCCACAGGGTGCAGGTGGCAAAGAGAGAAGGGAAGGGCTGCTGCAAAGCTGGAGAAAACTCTCCTGTACATACTTTCTCCTTCCAGGGGGATATTTTATTCCAAAGCTGAGACCTGGATATGCATCTGGGTTCAGTGAGAAAGCCAGTTGCTCCAGGAAAAGCCCAGATCTTGGCCAACCTGCACCAAACAGTCTGAAAGTGGGCTCTCTTACTGCTGCAGGTATTGCCTAGGGTCATGCAAAACCATCCCGTTGGACATGGAATGAGGCTTGTGGCTGTCTCTGATTGCATCCCTGTTTTTTAATTCCCTCCTCTTTGATTCTTCTGGAGATCACTGCAGCCAGTGGAGTTCAATCACTGGGGTACAACCGGACTGCTGTGCATGGGCAATGCAGCAGAGGAGCACAAACTTGGGGGTGTGTAGGCAGGTTGCCCTCAGTTGTGTGAATCTTGAGTGTTTGTCTTTTCAGTGCACGGCACCATTTGGAGGCACAGATGTCCATGTGAAACTCCCTGCTCAGGGAGGCCATTGCATTTCTTTCCTCCGCCACCCCCGCCCCACTCCTAGCTGTTGTTCTGGTGTCTTGCAGGCACAGAAGAATAAGGCAGGATGGATGTGTATGACCCTCAGACGCTGGGTGTTGTGGTCTTCGGAGGTTTTATGGTGATATCAGCCATTGGGATCTTCCTGGTGTCCACCTTCTCCATGAAGGAGACATCTTATGAGGAAGCCTTGGCCAAGCAACGCAAAGAGCTTGAGAAGACCCAGCAGCAGAAAATGGAGAAAAAGAAAAAAGAGAAATCTGTTGAGAAGAAAGGAAAAGCAAAGAAAAAGGAAGAGAAACCTAATGGAAAGATCCCAGAGCAGCAGATGACTCAGGAAGTGACAGACCCTCCCAAGGATGTGGTTCTTGAAGCTGCTGTGGTACCTGAGCCTTTAACAGTGGAGTTTCCAATTGCAGCAGTGTCAGTTGTCCCCCAGGAAAAGGAGAAACCTGTTCTGTCACCTAAGGAGAAGAGGAAGAAGGAGAAGAAGGTGGCAAAGGTAGAGCCTGCTTCTAGCCTGATGTTGGCTTCACCTCCTGTCAGTGTCCCCAGAAGTTCTCCTGTCCTGGAGGTGGCCCCTAAGGAGGTGCCTGTTGTGGCTGTGCCACCAGTTGGCACACAGCAAAGTGCTCCTGTCAACCCTGTCACCATCAAGAAAACCGATGCTCTTCCGACCCATGAGGAGCAGAAGCATGATGGACCTGTCAAGAAGAAGGCTGCATCCAAGAAGAAGAGTGAGCCAGGTAAGGCCAAATTCCTCTTCGTATATCCCCATCGAGTAAGCCGCCAGGGTATCTTGATGGTGTTAAAACAGGCCTATCCCATTCTGAGATCTCTTCATTCTTGACCCCATGGCCTGGGGGTTGGAACTAGAAGATCTTTAAGGTCCCTTCCCCAAATCATTCTATGATTTTGTGATTCTTCAGCATTGGAAACAGGACAGCTGTAGAAAGGCTGTCTCTGATGAGATGGGCCATGTGCGCCTTGGGATAGGTGGGCTAAAAAAAGCCTGTACTGGACTATCATTCTCTCTGGGGGGAAGTAAAGTTGAAGTCAAGAGTTTATTGACTTATTTTCACTCTGCAATGTGTTGCCTCCTGATCAGGTACCTCTAGTTGGTGTTTAGCTCCTTGGTCCTGCACACAGGTTGGAGAGTTACAGGTTCTTTTTGGATTTGCTGTTGTGTTGTGGGTCTCAGCAGATCTGCACATGGGAATGAACAGGAGGTGCGTGTATCCATCGTGGAGAGGGACAGCTGCCAAGGTGCTGGACATCTGGGTGGAAAGCCAAGATGAGGTGTTTTCCCCACACACCCGTGATTATTAAAAGCACAGAGGATCTGTACCACGATTCTACGTGGAAGTGGGTCACTTGCTAGAGTTTCCTTGTTCTTCAGTGGAGGTGAAAAAGGATTCTTCAAGGAGAGAGAATTGATGGGATTTTATACTGCAGGGGATTGATCATAGGGTAATTAGAAGGAAATTACTTTGGATATGTCACAGGGAAGGGAAAACTTGTCCATCGTCAATCATGCCTCACTTGATTGACTCGGAGATAGAAGAGATTAAAAGAGGTGGTCCTGAACTCTCCAGGTTATAAATAGGTGTAGGGAGGGGGAAATCAGCTCTGTAGCTGGATTCTTGCCTCTCTTTGTACCAATGGGAACAGTTTGGGATTTATTTTTGGCACTAAAAATATGCATGCTTTCGGACCTGTAGAAGTGTTCCCATGTGGACACATGGGAGAAATCTCTCAGGTGTTCTCAAAGATGTGATGTGGTGTTTCATTTCTTTATTTACAAAAAAACCCCAGCAAATCCCAAAAAACCTACCAAATAAAAACACATCCCTTCTTGCTAACCTTCTGCAGCATCTCCAAACCTAGATTGCAGTGTAACCTGGCAGTTTCCACGCCCACATTTTGGAAGAGGGCCTGTTTCTCAGCAGGACGTTTGCAGCTGCTGGTTTCCAAGGTTGGGTTAAAACCCTTGTGTCTGCTCTTCTGAGGAAAGAGTTTTACTAAAGGCCATCTCCACATAGTGATGCAATTTGAAAGGATTTGAGAAACTGCTTCTGGAGGGTATTGCAGTGATGGTGTTGGGAAAACTAAAGGTGACTGGTTTATTGTGTGCATCCATGGATGCACTTCTCTTAACACTGGAATACATGGATGTGCTGAAAAACGTGGCCCTAAATCCAAGCTGTAACAGCTAAGGGAGTGTAAATGGGAAATGAACTTCTAGCATTTGTTAAGATCGGAGTTTTTCTAGCTGCTCCAAACTTAGATTCCCTTGGGGATGAAGTGCCAATCCTGCATGTCCTAAAAACCAAGTGTTGTCTTAGCTGCTCCTGTGGGATTTTTCAAAGGAAAGCTCTCAGCAGTATTTGCACCCTGAAGCTGACTGCAGTTTGACCAAGGTCTTGTGGGCAGCCTTTGGCAAGCTGTGGTCTCTCCTCTTCAAAGGCAAAAGCAACAAATTATCCTGTGGCAGATAACAATTGGTGTTCAAAGTGTTCAAAGACATGCTCAGCACTGAAACAGATGGCAAACCTGACGAGAGTAGCTTGTGGTATTTTTCTCTTGTGTATTTTGTTTCACCCAAGTTCCTTTGGGGGGAAGAAGTGGCTCTTCAGACCCCTTGTCCTGCTGTGCTTTCCCATGACAGCTCTGCCACATGGCTGGTTCTTGTTTCGTTGCTTCCTCAGCAAGGCACAAGGTTTCCGACTCTTTACATGGACTCGGTGTCAGCATAGGCTTCCTTGTGCCACAGCTTGGCAGGCTGCCCAGGCTCCACGTGCCATCTGCAAGGTGGGGTTTGCGTTAGGCCTGCCTTTGCAAGGCTTCATTGCATGACACTATTGGGAGATGGACAGAGTTTTGCTTTGTGTGGGTCCCTCCACCCAGTGGAACTGAGCCAGGGAATGTGATGTGCTGTCCTGCATCCATGCAGTTGCCAGCCTGAGTAAAGTGTGAGCCAAGCGTTGGGCCCTGGTTGCACTGCTGGGAAGTGGCTGTTGCTGGTGAGACAAACTCTGCTGCTGCCAGGGTTAGTGCTGCCATCTCGGAAGCCAGGAGGGCTTCTGGTAGCCAGAAGCCAGGAGCGGCTCTGCCGCTCTGTTGCTGTGGTGGGTTGACTGTGGCTGGCTGCCAGAAGCCCACCCAGCTGTACTCTCATGCCTCAACAGGATGGGGGAAAAATAAGAAGAGGAAGCTCATGAGTCAAGATAAAGACAGGGAGATCACTTAGCAATTACTGTCACTGGCAAAACAGACTCGACTTGCAGAAAACTGATTTATTTGCAATTAAAATAGATCAGAACAAAGACAAAATTAAAACAATACCTTCCCCCCCCTGCCCTCACTCCCAGGCTCAACTTCACTCCTTCCCTTCTGACTTCTCTAACTCCCCTCCCTGAGTGGTGCAGGGGGATGGAGACTGTGGTCAGTTAATAATAGCCCCTTTCCATAGCTCCTTCCTCCTCACAGCCTTCCCTGCTCCAGTATGAGGCCTTCCATGGGCTGTAGTCCTTCAGGATGAGCCTGCACCAGCATAGGCTCCTCTCTGGGGGCTGCAGGAGAAACTCTGCTCCAACACAGTGTGGTAACTCCTAAACCACTGCTCATCACCCTTTATCCATTGTGACCATGTGCATGTCCTACAACAGCATTATGGTCCCTGATGCTCCTTGGCTTTCCCAGGTTAGCAGAGGGGTAGGGGAAGGGTTGGAGTCATGTTTACCCCTAGCAAAGAGCTGGAGCAAACTTGCCTGGTGAAAGATGGGATGCATTCTGCATCACTGCCACCACTGCATGGGGTGACATCCTTCAGCAAGGTTGTATTGTGGTGCAGTCCAGCTTCTAATGCCCAACAATCTGTGCTCCCTGGCGTTGACAAAGCATACCCAGCTCCTGCTGAGAAACAGTTTGTTGGTGGGTGATAGGAGTGTGCTGGGACCAGTAGCAGAGCCAGGCAGAGGTAGCACCTGGCTCAAGAAGCCCATGTGTGGTATCATCTCCAGCACTTTTCATACTGCTTTCACTTAGAGAGGCATCAGACATGACTGTGGAAATCTGGGTAGTTGATGGTTTGACATGGCAGTTGTGGGGTTGAAGCCAACTGAAATGTTACTGTATCTCTACCTCTGTCCCCAGCAGTCCCAACCCCTCCTCTCTCCTCCCTAGCACCTACGGATTCAGATGGGCCCCTCTACCTACCCTACAAGACACTCATGTCCACTGTCAGCAGCATGGTGTTCAGTGAGGGTGAGGCCCAGCAGCTCATCGAGATCTTGACGGAGAAAATGGGCATCATGGACACCTGGCACACGGTAGGGCTACCAGTGCCATTGTGACCACCTGCTGCCTGGGCTCTGCTGAGTCTTGGAAGGTGGGAGGGGAGGGAAGACACCCCAATTTTGGGCAGGCTGGCCCCTTGTAAACCAGACCTGAATTCTCCCCTGGAGCAGAGAGCAGGATCTTGTATGTGTGCAGAGGAGGGTATGGGTCTGAAGGTGGTCATCCCCTCTGATGTGCCACTCCATGCTGGCAGGCCACTCAGAAGGGTGACCCGGTTGCTATCCTGAAACGCCAGCTGGAAGAGAAGGAGAAGCAGCTCTCAGCCGAGCAGGAAGATGCAGCTGCTGCCAGAAACAAGCTGCGGGAGCTGAGCAAGGTAAGCACTGTGCGGCTCTCCTGGCATCCCTGGTGTGGGCTGTGTTCATGATGGCTCGCCACAAGCCTGCTGCTCTCCACATCTCATCCCCCTTGCAGGTGAAGCCCTGGGGCTCTTTGGTCTCTTCACCTGTTTGCTGTTTTCTTCCCCAAAAGGGGAGGAGATCCCCACCAGCCCGAAGAACTGCAGGGTAGTGCCCTTTGGCAGCCATAAGGGAAACAGGGGAAAACCCTTCCCTTAAGAGATTGCAGCTTTCTTCTGCTTCAGGGAGAAAAGCAAATCCCTTCTCATCCCTGCCCAGATCCCCTGAGCTGAGAAGGTGCCTTTGTAAGGAGCCGGATGCTATCTACAGTGCCCTTTCCTTACTCAGACCCCTGCCTCCACCTCTTTTGGGTGTTGAAGGCAGAACAGACCCCCACCATGCTGAACTTGGTGGCTGGCAAGTTCCATCTGTATAATTTTCCTGCTTTGTCCCAAATGTTATGTGATGTTATTGATCCTGGGGGAGGGAGGGGGGTGGGGAATAAAATTCCAGGCTGTCTTACTCCTTTCTCTTAGCTGGCCCAATATGGAACAACAGTGGCATCCAGTGGCCACAGAGCCCAAAACAAAATGCAGGAGTGCTAAACAAAGTGCTAAACGTACCTGGGCATGGGGGCACCAGTGAAAGTGGTAAACTTTTTAGTCTTCTGAGCTAGGAGGCCACTGGTTTTGCATCCCCTTAAAATGGGGAAACCCATACTCTGAGAACTAACTGGATGACTTCTTTGCTTGAAGGACCTGGCAGCTGAGCGGGCCAAGGCGGCGGCTGCAGAGGGCAAGCTGAAGGAGCAGCTGCTGGCCCGTGAGCAGGAGATCGTGGCAGTGCAGGCACGCATGCAGGCCAGCTACCAGGACCATGTCAGCGAAACGCAGCAACTCCAGGTCAAGGTGAGCCCCATGCTGTGCTCTGAAGCTTCTTCCTTTATCTGCCAGGTGGCTTCTGGTGCCAGATGTGTGATCTTTGGGAGAAGACTGAGCTGTGTGAAGGGACAAGAGCCTCTGGGGGGGCGAGATCCTGTGATGCTCCTGGACCATGGTGGTCGAGGGAGAAGAGGCCCATGGAGCAGTCTCATGGGATGTCATGTCCCTGGGGGCTGTCAGCATCAGTAGACACCCTCCGGCTTTGCTAGTCCCTCTTGCTCATCTCATGGGCTTCAACAAGGACGGTGAAGTGGCCAGTGGTGGCATTAACCCCTGTTGGGCTCCTCTAGATCCGGACCCTGCAGGAACAGCTGGAGAATGGCCCCAACACACAGCTGGCTCGCCTGCAGCAGGAGAACTCCATCCTGAGGGACGCCCTCAACCAGGCCACCAGCCAAATGGAAAGCAAGTAAGGGTGGGGTGAGGGGCAGAACCTGGGACTGCCCTCTGGCAAACCCTGGGGTTGGCTGACCATCGGGCATGGCCACCCCCTTTCTCAAAGGTGCTTTTACAGGCACCCCAAGTAGCTGAAGGTAGAGGAGGGAATGAGGGAGGAAGAGCTTGCCAAATGGCTTTTGGGGGGCTGCCAGGGGAAACAAAGATGTTCTTCCCAAATGGATGGGTGGGGGGATCAGTCTCTGCATCGGGGTCACCTGTGCTGATGCTAGAGCCAACAGGCAGTGGAGGTGGGAGAGGGGACCAGAAGGCACTGTGGCACTATTTCCCCATAGGGAAGCTCATACTCTTATACTACAGCATTGAGAAGAAATGCAGCTGGCTCTTTGATGGGAGTGATGCTGCAGAGAACAGAGACCAGCCCAGTGTGTGCAGAAAAAAAAGGAGCTAGGTAGAAGAATTTCACAGTCCTTTTTGTAGGAAGTCTGAAATGACTGGTGATTAACAGTGGTCAAATAATTACAGAGCAGACTCCAGCTGCTTATAGTACTTCCTCTTGTGTCTGGGTAAGACAGATCCTCATGTCCTCTACTTCATAAGAAAGGAATGTCTCCCGTGACTGAAATGCAGCTTTTCTAAAGTAATTTGACAGCTCTTTCAGACCCTTCCCTGAAGGACCAGGCGTGTCCTAGAAATAGGCAAGTGAAGCCACTGAGGTGTTTCAAGTCCTGTATGATGCCCACAGAAGGATGTGTTCCCCCCTAAGCAACATCAGAGAGGCTTGAGTGGCCTGTGGGCTAAAATAACCCTGCTTCTGTTAATGCAGGCAAAATGCTGAGCTGGCCAAGTTACGGCAGGAATGCAACAAGCTGATGAGAGAGCTGTCTGAGAAATCAGAGGTGCTGCAGCAAGAGGAGCAGCAGAGGAAGAGCTGGGAGATCAAAGCGGCAGCTTTGGAGAAGCAGAACAAACAGCTGCAGGTCAGGCAGGCACCAGCAAAACCCGCTCCCCTCACAGAGATGGGCAGGTGGCTAACTTGCACGGGATCTGTGGACTTGGCCACGGGAGGAGCTAGGAGGGAGATGAATGTCCATGTTTGGGAAGGAAGCTGCCTTGCAGGCTTCCTAATTGCTTTCTCCCCCATTAGTTTGTGACATTCAGTGTGCGCCTTGCACACCAGTGTGATGCCTTGTATCACGAGCAGAGCCCAGGGAGCATGATCTTGAAGCCCTTCTTCTATGGGTGCTCTCTTGAAACTCAGATGTTTTTAACCCTATTATTCTCCCTCCCTGGTGCAGGAGATAGAGCTTGTGGCTTTTTTTGTTGTGGCTGGGTCTGGGGTGTTTAGGGGTGTTAAAAGGACACCTCCCAAGTAGACCTCTGAGCACACAGTCGTGTGTTGCAGGCAGCCAGGCTGTACTCACATGTACTCACATCTTCAGGGGGGGTTAACAGTGCTCTTGCTGGGATGCTGCTAAAGTGGATGCTGGGGCCATTAATCCCAGGGTAGCAGAGTAAGGGATGTGATATGTCCCTCGGGCATGTGCTGTGGTCTCTGAATTGCTCTGGCTTCTTTAGGAAGGGGCTGTGGTGAAGGAGACCTTTGTCTTCACATGCCAAAATAGTTTTGTAGAGGTGTTCCTATAACAAGGGTCCTTTGATATCCTTACTTTTATTTTTTTCTGTGCACATCTCTTTTTAGTGGGCTGCATTTGGCTCCAGCTGCTTTTGCAGGCAAGGGGGATGATGTGGACATGCAGCTGGTGTGAAGGCAGAAGCCACCTTCCTGGCTCAAAACACTAGCTCCTAGACATGCTTTTAGGAGAACTTCTCCAGAACTTCTTTCAGCTTGCTGCAACACCTTGATACTAATTAAATAAATCATACTACCTGGAAGACTTTGAAGTCAAGGATGTGTTTAAAATGCAGGGGAGAATGTAACACAGTAACACCTAGATCTCTGAGCTGAGAATACGGAGTCAAATCCTCAAAAAACGGAGAAGTCCTGCTTTCTTGGTGTGCTGGAAGCATCACTTGGACAGAGACCATCCTGCTGGTTTACCTTTCTCTGTCCCCTCGATGCAAAACAACGTTTCTCCATCTGCAAGGGTGCAATTTGTACCTGCAGAGCTGCGTCATCCTTCTCCCCTGCCTTCCCCCTCAAAATGCCTGCCTTGGCCAGGCCTCTTCCTTGCTGCTTTCTAAGATGGAAAAAAAAAGTATTCCCTGGCCCAAACCACACAGAAGATTCCTCCATGTGTGGAAACGTGTGGTTGGGTGTCTCTGTCCTGTTAAACACCTCTCCCTGCTGGGCTGGGGCAGTGTGTTTGGACCGGGGTTTTAAGAGGTTTTTCAGAGCTTAGGTTTCTAGAGGGGAGGGTGGTCTTGGCCCAGAACCGAGACATTTGGGTATTGTCTGCTTCCCAGTTTGAGGGCTGACAAATGACAAAATGTGAGCACGAGGCAAGATGCATCAGGGGGAATGTGGGGAAAGGGTGACTTAAATCCCCTAAAGTATGGCTTAAAAATAACATTATGTGACATGTGGAGCTTTGCTTCAAATTGCCTGGGGTATCTGTTACACTGTAGGTAACCTTCTCTTCCTGCCATGCAGGCTTCCCAACAGGAGGTGGAGGTGATGCTGCAGAAGAGGCTGGATGAAGTCAGTGATGAGCTCCACAAAACCCAGACCAGCTACAAAAGCTTGTTAGCAGACGCAGAAAAGGCCAAAGGACAGCAGCAGAGCATTGCTGGTGAGGAACTGGGATTGGCATGGGGAGAGCTTTGGGGCAGACTGAGAGCTTTCAGAGCTGGGTGCTTGGTGGAGCTGGTCCAAGTAATCTACAAGTAGACCCAATTTAGGCTGCCTAGTATTGATGTGAGCAAGATATGGGCTGGTTCATAGTTCTATCCTAGGATGTTACTCCAATGCCACTCTCCTGTGCTGTCCTGCGTCCCTGCCTCCCCTTTCTGTGCCTTCTAAAAGCATCCACAGCCAAGGCTTCTTTGGCTAAGATTCTGCTTGGGCAGGGCAGGGTGGGGAGTCTCCAGGTTTGTTTGCATCTACCCTACCATGTTTCTCATCCTTTCCTCCAACAGAACTGCAGGCCAAGCTGCTGAGCTCCGAAGCAGAGGTTAAAAGTAAGTTGCTGGAGTTGGACAATGTGAAAGGGAAACTGCAGGATGCCAGTTTGGACAATACGAAGCTTCTGGAGAGGATCAAGTCCATTGAAGCTCTGCTGGAGGCAGGCCAGATGAGTGGGGCAGAAAAAGACAGAGACTTGCAGGTTATGTGCTCATTTAATTGGGGTGGGAGGAAGGGAGTGGGTTATGCTGCTCACACAGTGCCTGTGTTATCTTTCCTCTGGGATCCCCTCTGGAATGCCACAGAAAGGATTGACCTGCATCACGTGCCATGGGCAGGTAACAAAAGTGCTTTCTCTCTTCCAGGCAGCCAATGAAGCAGAAATGAAGCAGCTGCGGTCAAGGTGGGTCTGGCTGCACATGGAGACTGCTATGGCAACCTCCAGCAACCTCCAGCTTGCTGTCCGTGTGTCCCAGGCTTCCTCAAGCACTAAGCCTGTGGGTGAGGGCTTCCTGCCTTCCAGTCAGGCTTGGGGACTGCCAAGCTGGGAAATCAAGGTCAATCCTGACCAATAGTGCTGTTTAAAATATTTATTGGCTCCAGCACTGGCCCCAAATAACAGCCAGTCCATTCTGAAGTGGGACTGAATTGCTGGCAAGCACATGGATTCTGACCAGTCTTACAGAATAGGAGGTTCTGGTGGTGTTGGTCCTGGGTATGGAATGTCTCTGATCCAAATCCCTGCTCAAGGCTGGGCTAACCAGAGTAAGCTTTTTGAAAATATTTCCAGGTATCTCCAAGGATGGAGATTCACCACTTCTCTGGGTCCGTGTTCCAGTATTCGATAACCTCTTCCCCCATCCCCTGGTGCAGAAAGGTTTCCTGGCATTTAAATGAAGTTTACAACTTTTTCACAACTTGTGCCTTTTGCTCCCTGTCCATGTGCTGGGCACCTCTGAGAAGGCTCAGGCTTTGCATGGGGGCAGGATTTCTCAGCTGCCCGCATTGCCAGCAAACATCCAGCATTCCTATAAAGGAACGCAGTGGTTCAGTTGTCCTGGGACCCCAAGAGACTTGCGTAGTTCTTGTCAAGGATCTGAACCTTCCTTGGTTTGCTCAAGCTGAGGGTCCCTTCAGGGCAGATGTGGGATCTGTGGAAGTGGAGAGACGATGCAGGCTCTCTGGTGTCTAGTTGGCAGCCCTGATTTATGGTTACTCAGAACACTAGGATGATACTTCCAAAATGCAGAGCTGTGGGCTACCTCAGCCTAACAAGCTGTGGATAGGAGCAGACTCAGTTTTGGCTTTTGGATCACTTTTCTTCTTCCTCTTTTAGTGTGTGTACAGCCAGACAGCTAATTGCTTTTTTGTTATTGCTCATAAGATGGTAGAAAACTAGGTCCTACTCCAGTATTGCATTGGCTGTGGTTTTCAGTCCTGCTCCCTCTCCATCCTGCTGTATGTAGATCCCGGAGCAGACCGGGATAGGAAGGGCTATCTCAGGAGCTTGCTACCCAGGAGGGAGATGGATCCTGAGACTCACTCCTGCATCCTGCCGTTCCAGACTCCAGGAGAACACAAACCAGCTCTCATCTTTGGAAAGGGAAGCCACAGAGCTGCGAGAGGCAGTAGAGCAACAAAAGATGAAAAACAATGTACGTGAGTGAACAACAGTCTGTCACAGTCATCTACTGATGGCTCTCTGGTGCAGTCAGAGGCTCTTCCAGCCCCACAGACCACTGGAGGCGTTGCCTTGTCTGCTGGAGAGCAGGAAACACCCCGGTGGCCTGTGTAGCTGGAGCTGATGTGCTGTAGCAGGTGATGGGCTCCTGGGGTAGTATGTCTGTCCCCTGTTCTCTTGGGAGGTTTAGGACCTGGTAAGCCAGAGAGATTCTATGTGGCAGGGCCAAGGCAATCCTTGAGCAGGCTCCCTCATGTCTGCTCCTGCGCTCCTTCTCCCTCTACTGTAAAGTGGTATCAGTTAGGTGGAGGCCACCTTACATCCCTCCACTTGGCCTGTGTCTTCTCCAGGCAGAGGGTGCTTGTGGAGCTCCTGCCCCCTTCCAGCTCTGCCCTGCTCCTTCAAGGCCACTTCCTGAGCAATGCGGTGCATCAAGCTACTGTGAAGATGGAGGGAAAAGGGATGCATGTGGGCAGTGGGATGGAAGACTCTTGAACAAACTGATGGACTGCTGCCCAGTTTCCTAAGTGCAGGCTTTGAAATCCTCCTCAGTGCCAACAAGCAAGTTTGTGGCCTTTGGCATGAATTGTGGCTTATTGCCCTCTGTGGTCTCCGCAGGACCTTCGCGAAAAGAACTGGAAAGCAATGGAAGCATTGACCATGGTGGAGAAGGTGTGTGAGGAAAAACTACTTGCTGCTACAAAAGCAAAGGTGAGCTTGGCATTTTTCTCTGGCAGGGATGCTGGTGTTGGAACAGAAGCCACTAGACATGCTTGCCCTTGGGTTGCCTGCCTCCTCTTAGGAGCAGTGCTGGTCCAACCCTCCTGCCAGCTTCTCCAAAGTTTGTCTTGAGGGCTGGGTATCCCTGCTTCCTGTTATGGCTGGGGAACCGAGTAGATGGGTGAACTGGAAGTGATGTTTTCATAGGTCCTGGTGTCAGCAGTTTTCTGTGTTGACTGGTTTCCTGTGCTGGCTCACCCCTGTAGGCACAGAAAAGCAGGAGCAGTGTTGGCAGCCTGGCTGACAGGTGCCCAAGACCTCCATCCCATGACAATTTGTCTCTCTTACAGGAAGAGCTGGCCCAACAGCTGAATGCATTCCAGACACGAACTAAGCAGACTCTGCTCTCTGCCCTTCCTGGAGTCACTGTGTCCTCACAGCAGGTGGGCACAGGTTTTCTCAGACCCTCACAGAGCCTCCACCACATGGGAAGGAGAGATATCTAAGCATCCTCTTTCTTCCTTGTTCTTTTTTTTTCAAACTCAGGATTATGATACATGGCTACAAGAGTTTAAGGAGAAGACTATAAGTGTGCTAAAGCAGCAAGTGATTACAACAGAGCCCCTGGCAAGTGAAAGGGCTGGAAAGTGGAGGGACGAGGAAGTGCTGGAGGGTTATATGTTACTTTTCCTCACTTCTCTCGCTCTTCCCTCCCTCTCTTTTTAGGATTCAGCTCTTAAATTGAAAGAGGCAGTGGAAACACAAAACACTTTACAAGCAGAATGTGAGCAGTATAGAACTATCCTCGCAGAGACAGTAAGTTGCTGCCCTTTGTGCTGTGTTGGCCTTCCACTGGAAATACCTCTTGAGAGGTCTCCTGGCAGCCCAGGCTGCCCATGAGCTCAGTGTGGGCATCCCTTGGTATGTTGGGGGGGCTACCATGGGGAAGACTGTTTGTCACTGAGACAGAGGATTAGGAGAAACGTAGGTTTCTAGAGCTCTTCCTCAGCCTAATTGTGTTGGAAACCTTCCTGGTGGTGATGGGATGTGGCACAGATGAGCAGGGTGGTCGAGCCAGAATAGGAATTAGGAGCCTCCAGCCCCACCTGAGGCGTCTAATTCTTTTTCTTGGAGAGGCTTTGCGTACGCCAGGGCTGCTCAGGTTAGCTGGGCTCAGCTGAGACTTTGCCAACAGGAGAGGATGCTGCGAAACCTGCAAAAGAGTGTGGAGGAGGAGGAGAAGGTCTGGAAAGCAAAGCTCACAGCCTCTGAAGAGGAGCTCCAAAAGGTGCGTTTGCAGCATACCTGGGTTTGTTGTTCCTGGAGATGGACTTCCAGGAGAAGGAGGGCTGTTGGCAAAAATCAGTTGGTGACCCTAAGTGTTCCTGCCAACTTTGAACCTCACAACATGGGGACTTTCTCTTCTCCCCAAATATACTCCTCCTGTCACCAAAACAGCTGCCAAAAATCCCACCTCATGCAGAATCTGCACCTGTCTTCCTCACAGATCCCACATCTCTGCCTGGTGTGTGCCTAGACCCTGTCAGTGGAGCTGCAGGAATGGCTTCAGCTCCTCGGTTCAGGCATGATAGTTGTGAAACTATGTTGCCTCTTCAGTAATCCAAGCTCTGATGCTTGAAAATCAGGCTGGGCCCTCGTGGTGGGCACTGGCTAGGTGGGAGGAGAGCACGTGCAGGGCTCTTCGACTCATTTGCTGGAGAACTTGGCTTGCTCTCAAAACATGGATTGACCTTGGCACTTGTTGAGCCTTGAGAAAGGAGCTGAGATCCAAGTCACGTACTGCATATAGTTTAGGGTCCAGCTGTCTGTCTAGCTCTGGGTACTGCTCTTCCTAGTTAAAAAGCCAGCCAGCAGCTGCCAGAGAGCTTCTGTTGCCCAAGGGGTTGGTGGGGAGTATGTTCCATGAGCTCTTGTGACTTGGTTGGCATCTGGGAAAACTTGGCTGGCCATGCCTTTTCTGCAAAGCAGACTGATGTTGTCTCCTCCTTCTTGAATGCAGAACTGAGAGGAAGCTATTTTCCACGGTCTGCCTCTCCCCATCCATCAGATGGGGTTTTGAAGTTAACTGGGACTGCAGGGAGGTGGAGGAGCTCTTGTACAAGAGATCTTTGATTTCTCAGCCTGTCACTGGCTCCTGGAGCACCAGTGCTGCTGAGGACTGGTGTAGGATTGCAGAAGATGACGTGGCTGTTGGTGGTGTATGTGATGAGATGAATGTCTGGTGGCTAGAACAGTTCCAGAGCAGTCCTGCCTCTCAGTGGAGAAGAGGTGAATTCCTCCTTTCAAAAAATTTCAGCATCTGTGGAGTCCTCTTCAAAAATCAGTCCGGGTTTAAATGCAAACCCCATGCTTTTTCTGGTAGATTGGCTTCTCATAATAGTGAAGTCCATGACACCTCATTGGAAAGTCTACCTTGCTGCTTCCAAACTAAAGAGCGCTTTCAGTAGGAAACTTGTGCAGAGTCTGGTCAGCTTCTTGGGTGTTGAAACCGGACTGTAGCCAGCTGAATTCCTGCAGGCAAAAGGTATTACTTTGCTCCACGACTTACGGCCTGGGCATGTTGAACTTGTCCTCCCTTGGAAGAAGAGCTCCTTCTCTCCAGGCTGCAGAGCTCCACTTTGGCATCAGGTCTCTTTCACACTTGGGTACAGGATGAAGTGGGAGAGATGGGAGTGAAACATCAGCCAGTTTTTGATTGAACCAAAGTGAGTACACTGTCCCCATGAGATGCTGTTCACTGACCTTCGCTGATGCTTTCTGCTTTTAGTCACACTTCCAGCTGAAATCCCTTGAAGCCATGGTGGAGAAGTTGAAAGCAGATCTGCAGAACACAGATCAGGTGAGGTTTTTGGGGTACGGGAGAAGGTGTCTGCACAGGTGCCAGGCAGATAGATGCTTTGCTTGGGTTGAGTCTGGTTCCATTGCCCTGGGGAAGGCAGACTTTGACCATGGGATATTTGGGATGTGTTGGATCTCAAACAATCAACCTCTTCCTGCTTTTGTCTCTTTTATTCCAGCTAAAGGAATACACCTCTCTTCTGGAAATGCAACTGGAAAATCACTTGCAGACAGCCAGCTCTGAACGTCAAAACTACACAAAAGAAGTTGAAGTTGTAAGTGTGGTGGCTGTTACCTTCTTAACCACATTTTTCTTCTAACCCTGACTTACCACCCGTGCACATTTTGGGGATTTGAGGAGTGCCCTGGGGATCTGGGAAGTGCCCCAGTGATCTACAGCTTTGCAAAGCAGAAGAAAACAGGTGGAGGTAATTGCTCCAGTCTGGGTTGTAGACACTGAAAGTCAGGAGATCCATGGACAAAGTGATGGGTCAGAGAGATCTGTATGGAGATGCTGTGCACTGCTTCTCGGTGGCCTGTGTGATTTCTGTGGCTCAGGTGAGATGGAGCTGTCTCATGGCCATCTCTGTGAGCAGACAACAGCAAGTGATAATATCATGACCTCTTTTGGAAGATGTTGCATCGTAAAAATGCTTCCTTGGGCCAATGGGTTCCAAAAACAAGTGCATAAAAGGACTTTTTTTTCCTTTCCGTTCCTCCTCAACAGTTGAGGCAGCTCTTATCAGAGTCCCAGGAGCAGCTGGAGGCAGCAAAGACTGAAATGCAGAAGCAGAGCAAGGAGCTGGCACTGGTAAGGAGGGGTCCCCAGAGGTGTCCTGGTGGGATCTCAATGCTCTGCCTGGGGTTGGTTTGCAAACCCAGCCATGGGACTAGCACCCTTCCTGGGGGTTCAGGGAGGGGAGGAAGGCACAGCCAGTGCACAGGGGAACATGGTGCTGCCAGGCACTAGACTTCCAGAGGGGATGTTTGAGACACAGGAGGAGATTTTTATTTTTCTGTCTTTCCTCTCATGATGAGGGTGGGAAGGAAGGGAGAGCAGCAAGGCTTGTGCAAGCTGGTATGTAGCAGAAGAACCCAACTGCCCCACCACTGGACACTGGTTACCCCAACACCACCCTGGGGTAGGAGTTTGGGTGCCTTAAGCATCCATCCATCCACCTCTGGAGGACTGAGATTGTGCAACCCATGTGTACAGGTCACTCAGGGATCTGAAGGATGGGGCTAGGTTTCTGCAGGTAGATGGTAGGGAGAGAACTGGGATATAGGGCTGAGAGAGCTAGCAGACCTGCCAAAACCACGAGGGCTCTAGTTTTTAAATCTGTTGATGCCTTAAGCCCCTAATGGTTTTTATTTTTCTAATACTTGTAAGTTTTATAAGTAGTGGAAGTAGACTCTAAAAGCAGCATCCCTCACTCCCTCCCTTGTGCCTTTCCCTGTAGCACCCTTGTTTACACATTCCTTAACCCTCTTACCCCATTCTATGCTCCCTATATCACTCCTACCCCCGAATACAGCAGAAATATTTAGTCTTTTGTCAAGGCAAGGCCCAGATTGTTGGCAGAACAGCATATCAGGGCCTAAACCACAGAATACGGTCAAGAACTGGGTGACTATGTACCCTTTGTGCTCTGATGAAGATGAAGATGGGATGAACAGAGGGTCCCGAAAAGCCCCCAGACCCATTTCTCAGGGGGTGGACCTGGGGCGGTCCAGAGTAAAGGCCACGGGGTGGACACATCTGGGATTGGATGGATGGTATTATAAAATGTAACATCTCAGGCAGGGCGGGCGCGCGTCTTGTAACATCTTTGCCTTGGCATAATAAACCCTTTCTTATCTCACCCCTAATTAACTGCTCTGGGAGATTTTTTTCAGCACCTAACTCCCACGGCAACACTGTACTTTGATTGTGAACCATTGGGAGTTTGTTTTGATGGTGCTGCTCACCCATTCTTGAGTGCTGACTCTTCCCAGCCTCACATCCACTACTGTCTAGCTCGCTCAGCGAGCTGATGCACCCCCTTGCTCCCAGGGGGATATGGCATGGGATCATCATTAGCCTTAATCTCATTAGATGGGCAGGCAGTTGTAAGTGTGGAATACACTTGTGTTCATCCAGCAACTTTCCCTTCTGGCCAAGGCACACTGTCAGCTTGCAGCTTGGCTGCCACTGCTGGTGTGATGCAGGATGGAGACCTGGTGGTAAATGGAATGTGCGGAGGTTAGTTGGGGGGGGGCAGGCAGTGTTCAAGTAACTGCCTTCCCAGGCATCTCAGTTGTGATCCATGGCAAAATGGGACCTGCCACCCTGCCTTGATTTATTTAATACCTTGACTGTGTTAGTGCAAACCCTCAAGCAGTGGTTCTAAACACAGGTGCCAAGGGATCGAAGCAGAGCACATGAGGCGTGAGTGTGTGTTCTGCACCCCTGGGAGCTGTTGTGCCTCAGGCTACTCAGGTTAGGTACCACTGTCCTGCACGTAGCAGAAACTGAGGTGGTTTTCCAAACATTTCAGCTTGTGTGAAAGCAAAAAAGCTGGCACGCTTTATCTGTAGGTTCTTGTGAGTCGTGTAAAGGCTGCAGCACAGGGATGTGTAATTGAGCCAGGCTTGCTGGTCCTCCCTCCAGGTCAGGCAGCACTTGAGTGAGATGAAGAGCCATGTACAGGATGGAGAGGTCGTGAGGTTACAAGCTGACCCAAGCGAGCCTGCACCCCTCAAGGTTAGGATGGTGAGACCACTGCCTGTGGAGGCACTGACCCTTAAGCATCCTGTCTCACCATCTCTAACTGCATGGAGAACTGCACGTGGCTTTACTTGGGGCTGTCGTGGCTGTGTTGTCTCCTGTGCCATGTGTTGGGGAAAAGCTAGCCCCCTATCCCTTCAAACATGTGTCTTGTTCCCACTGGGAACATACCACCAACTGGCTTTCACCAGGTTGTTCACCTTGGGAGCCCTCCATCATGGCATCAGGCTGGCAAGATTTGAGGGGGATGCAGGCAGGGCATGCTGCAAGCCCTTGGGCCAGCATTACCATGTGACAATGCCCTGTTGAGTTCGGGGCATGGGTCTCCTTGGAGGAAGGGGACACCCCAACAAAGTTGTACCAGGATCCCTTCCCAGCTGGTGAGGATTACGATTACAGAGGCTCCATAAATTACTGGAGCTGGGCTGAGGGTATTAGCAGTGGCTGTTCCCTTTCAGGCTGACACCTCTTGCCAGTAGCAGTGCTGCCACAAGTTGGGCTCTGTCTTTCTCCTTTAATCCTGTTAACTGTGAAGCCTCCTCCCAGGCATGGGGACCTGCCAGGCACATCCTTCCCTATGGGGTGCCTCTCATCCCATGTCCCAGCTGATGCTACCTGAGGAGCAAGCAAAATTTGGCACTGCAAAGCCAAGCCCCAGGCATCAGTATCCTCCCAGCTCTTGTGCTGAGGAGGGATGCTGGTACCTATTGCCCTTTGATGTCCTAGGGAAAGCTTCCATTTTTATTTCTTCTGTCTAAGCCCAGCTTTCTTGGTGATGTCCCTGCTAGCTCATTTCTTGAGTAATTTTTAAATTTTATTTCTGACTGTTTTCCCCTTTTCTCAACACAGCTGAAAACCCAGCTAGAGCAAAACAAAATGCTGGTGGAGAAGGAGCAAGTGCTGCGGCAAAAGCTGGCACGGGAGCTGGAGGAGGTAGGTGTGGGCAAGGAGGATACAAAGGTTTGCAAAGCCTTTATGGGTTCCCGGCTGCTAAAGAAGCCCAAGAATTAATTTGAAGGTTCTTCCCCATCACTGTCTGCATTCCCTTACAGCAGCATGTGGCAACACTCGCCCTTCACATTGCCCCTCTCCCAGTCCCCCCATGTCTTTTTCCAGCTCTTTGCCTTGAGCTGGGTTTCATGCTGCTCCTGGCGAGAAATACCATCTTCCTGGTGGAAGCTGGATCAGCAGAAGCAATGCACTGGGTTCAGTGTCCTGCTGATGGCGGCTGTACAACCTAGCTCTTTACCAAGGGCACACCCACAGGGGACTCAGGTTGTACTCTGTGGGACGTGCCTGCCACTGTTGGCTTCTGTGCTTACTGAGTAGTATGTGTCCCCCTCCAGGCCCAGAGCTCAGCATGCACATTGCAAGCAGAGCTGGAAAAGCTGAGACTGACTGAAAACGCAGCAGCTTCGGACACGGAGGAGGCCCGGCATCTCAAGGTGATTTGGCTGTGCCAGGACAGCAAAAGTCATGTTCAAGCAGGACTAAGGGCATGATTTATCATTTCTGAGGAGGGTGGGGCAAGGTTGGTGGTTACCCTGCAGGGAGGTGGCTGAGAGCTCCACCACAGCTGAAGGACAGCAGGCTGCAAGTCACAGCCACTGCATCCATCTTGGCCAAGATAAGTGCGATGCCCTGAGCAAACACTCTCACAGCCTGGGCTTTTCATGTACTGGGTTACTGTCCAGTTACCATGAGGTCTCAGCCCATGGCATCTCCAGATTAGATGCCAGAGTGAGCTTGTAGCTGGTCATCACCAGGGGTGATGCCTGGTCTCTCTGCTGAGGAGGGAACTGGGTGCTCCTCTGGCTTGTGGCTACTGAGGCAGCTTGATGCAGACCTGAGGTGACCTGGGATGTTTTGGAGGGGGGAAGGTCACCAGATGTAAAAGAGAGGCTCAGGCAGATGCCTTCTTTTGACTCCCATGTAGGAAAGACTTGACAAAGAAAAAAAATTAACAAAGGACCTGGGTCAGGCAGCAGCCAAACTACAGGAGCTACTGAAGGTTGCCCAGGACCAACTGGCCAAAGAGAGAGAAACTGTGAAGACATTGAAAGAACAGCTTCAGGAAACGGTACTTGTTGGTGGCCATGGCCATCCCTCCCCTTGATACTGGTGGAGGCGCCAGGGAAGTGTACATCAGGCAGTGTTTTAAAAATGGAGGCAAGAAATGATGCCAGAAATGATTTGGTTGGATTTTGGGAAGCCCTGGGACCACGCGAGATTATGCTCATGGTTCTCCCTGCCCAAAAGGCAGGACTAGGCCTCTTTGTGAAATGCTTTGGGGCTTGAGCTGCCATGAGAATGATGAGATACAGTTGAGTAACCCACCTTTTTTTTCCTTCTCCAGGGGAAAGAGGACAGTTCAAAAGAAGGGACTTCAGTTTGACGAGTCTGCAACCTAGACCTTACCATTCAATTTACCAAAATGCCTTACACATTCCTAAAAATAAAAATATGTGCTAAATTCACTGTATATAAGAGATTTTACAAGCCATTAGTGACCCAAAACCTAGTTTTGAAACTTAAAATATACAAAAAACCCCAAAAACCCAGTAAACACTGCAGTTTGTAAGAAAATCTTCATACTGTTTGTACAACTCTTTGTTTCCCAGGGAGCCTCTCTGGCAATGCCAGGGCAAGTGCTGGGGCTTCACCTTCCTTGTTGCAGCAGAATCCACAAATATGTGCAAAAGGGAAGACTGTGTTTGTACATCAACTGGTGCAATTCTATATTTTTTCCTTTTTTTTTTTTTTTTTTTTTTTCTGAGTGAAAGGAGTGTGGAAGTAACACCCACCACAGAAGGATGCCGCTCTTTGATGGGTGGCTTTTGGCACGTATCCTTTTTTTTGTATTTCTGGGTGTTGATGCAATTAAAATGATGTAGCGAAAAGAGCTTGTCCTTTCTTTATTTTTCTGGGGTTATGTCTGTGTTGGTTTTTTGTGTCTTTTTTAAGTTTGCAAGCCAGGTAGGTCTTTTGGGTCACTGAAGGACTCTGCTTTGGGCAGGATCATATTCTTTATTCCCACCCTTCCTTGCTTTGTCACAAAAGCCATCCCCTCTGTTTTCGATCCACTACAAGCAGAGGAGACTGTGTGTTTTCACGCTGGCGGTACAGGGGTGGGTTCCCTGTCTGGGGGTTGGCAGAGGGATTGCCACCCTTGCCATGGTGGCAGGGGCATGGGGGCAGCCCAGGCTGCTCCCTGGCTGTGTGGTCATGCTGAGGTGGGGATGAGCATGGCGAGGTGAGCAACATCAGCCCTGTGGGGACCATTCCTCCTGGGAATCGTTTTAAACCTTAGTGCTCCCCTGTAATCTGTCTCTGCGGGTGCTGTGTGATGGTGGTGCAATGGTAAATTGCATTTACACTCTCAGGCTTTCTAGCTCTGCTCTCTCCTTGTGGCTTTCCATTTTTGTGTTTGTTTTTTTTTTCTTCTTTTTTCTCTTCGTTTTTTTAAATTGTTCTTTCTGGTTTTGTTCTTTCTGGTTTTGTTCTTTTTTTTTCCCTTGCTCTTTTTTTATTTTCAAGCTGGTTTCTTAGGAAATGGCAGAGGCCACATGACAGCTTGGTGCCTGTCTCCCCACAATAAAGTTGCTGAGCCCGGTACTGACATCAGCAGGAATTTGAGAGAGAGGAGAAAAAGGCCCCCAAAGTGCTCAGTCCCTCCAGGATGTGTGAAGAGCCAAGGCTAGGAAGGAGGATGAGGGACAGACCTGCCTCTATTTTGTTCCTGGGGAAGGCCAGTGTGATACCAATTGCACACCAGAGGCTCCACAGGATTGGGTGGACATCCTGTCCCTCCCCTAGCTCTATGGCTTTTGGGGCCATGATGGAGAAATATGGGGCAGGAAGTGTGTGTGACTCATCTTTGACCAGGTAAGAAAAAGGGGTCCTGCTGAATTCTGGCTGAGGAGATAGCAGGATGAAAGCCACACCCTGCCCCCCAACCTGTCTCCCACCCTTGTGTATCCCCTCCCCACACCCTTCCCAACATAGAGCTGTTGCATGCAGCAAGTCTCCCCACACTGTAAGGACAAACTCGGGAAGACCTTAGCCCCACAGCCAGGATTAGGCTTCAGTTTCTCTTTCTGGGCTTTGTGGCACATGGAGAGGAATGCATGAATCAAGGACCACTGGTGACCTCAACATGTCAGCATAATCCGTCACTTGCCGCAAACCACTTGCCCGGTTGGCTTTTAAGGTCCCCAAAAGTGAGGGAATGCCTGCATTTTTTCAGAATTGCAGAAAAACCCCACCCACCCCAAGGCTGGAGAGAGCTGTGGAACGTATCAGAATGGCCATCACCCCTAGGGGGTCACAGGCAGGAAGGGCCCCACAGCAGCAGGTGAAGTGATGCAACTCCCTAGGTTTTTCAGTTTTTTGCTTTTGCAACAACTCTTTCCTTTATTGAGAGCTCCTGTGCAAATGAGAGCAGATACCCAGGCATGCCCATGCAAGCACTAAAAAAGACCCCAAAACAGCCAATGCAAGGAGGGCAGTCATTGTTCCAAACACCCTTTGGAGTAGGTTGCCTCTGGTGGGGCTCCAGAAGCTCACAAGAGCAGATTCAGTGTGCCTGGCACAGGGGCATATGATGCCCTTCTGGGACACACTGCTGAGCTGGCTGTTTTAGGAATAAAGAGAGGGAATGGTCTCATTAAGCAAAGATATAAAAAACAAGTCTCTTTGCGGAAAGATGTTAAGCAGATTTTTTTACCTGGAGTTGTACTGTTGGGATTTTTTTCTTCCCTCAGCACCTTGGTTGAAGGGGAAGGACATCCTGAGTGGCTAGGAGAACCCCAAGCCTTGCCCAAGACTGTGCAGGGCTGAGGACTGGCCAGTCCCCAATCTCCCTGCAGCTGGTGGGATTTTGCCATGTGCCCACCCCATTGGGCAACATGCGGAGGGTTATCTCCTTTCCTCCAGGCCACCCAAGCTTGTTACTCGTCAGCCTGTTACTCACAGCTGGTATGATCAGCAGCCCCAGCACCACAGGCAGGAACCTTTATTAATAAAAATCAAGAAATTGCCCAGGTGGAGTGACTTTGGATAGGAACACTGGATTCTTCTGCTGATTCAGCCATGCCCAGAGTTACCTTTCAGCCTGGGTACCTGGGCTTATCAAGGCTTAAGACACTCAACCTTTTGTTGGAACAGCTAAATTGCATTTACACTGCCTGCTGTTCACACTTAGGCCTGAATTATCAGTCTGAATCTTCCTTTCCCATTTTCTCCCAGGTGTAATGGACAGAAGTGGCTTTTGGGAAACCATATCCTGCATGTGGACTTCAAGATAGTTCCAGCTGCTCTACCCTTGCTGCAGCCAAGCTGCACTACATGAGCATGTCCTGCTGAACTTGTATGGCTCTGAGCTGTCTTCATCACCTGAACCTCTTCACGTTTTTCTTCATGTACCCCTGTTAGAAAGTAATTTCTCTCCTCAGCAACCAGCCAAGTTATAGAAAAAGTCCCTCATATTGTCTTGCCTCGCCTTTTCAGGTCTGGGTGATTGGGAGAAATCTTAAAAAGTCACAAGAGTAAACACCTTCCTGTGCTTTCCATCCCCTACAAAAGCAGAAGGACAACCAACTTTGAGAGGGGGTGAAATTTGGTCCACAACCTCCAGTGTGGACAAGCCTGAAGCTCTGATGGCTGAGTTACTCCCAGCCCTGGAGTGCAGGAGTACTCTTCCAGAGAGGCCAGACTGTAATTTCAGGAGTAGCTGTGAAGGTCCTAAAAGCAGCCAAAGACTTAAATCGGCCTAAACTGTGAGAGCATATCTAGCCAAAGCCCAAAGTGCCACCTCAGACCTCTTATCACTTAGATCAGGGACTTGGGTTCAAAGTGCCTTAGTCCCAGAACTGAGGGCTTTCATGCTGTGGGAAACACTCTCCTACCTTACAGGTTTGACACCCTTCCTCTATTGCAGCATCTCCCGCTCCATTTTTTAACCAGGGGATGAAATCCCAGGCAGAAGTCCACCACAACATCACCTGGGCTACACATCCCTTCAAAGATGCCTGCAGTATGGAGGCACTAGCTATCAACTGGATCTTGGCTAGGAGCTGCCTTTGTTTGTCAGGCAGCACTGATCCCCGTGTGTCATACTTATTTCCTTATCTCAACCTGGACTTTGGACAAAGACCAGTACTGCAGACACCTAGGCAAGGAAGAGCTGTTTATGAGGACAATTACCCCCTTGGGCAAGCTCCCAGTTGACTGAAAAGAAGCTAAAAGCTCCAGCAGAAACCAAGGCAGTTTGCTTTGCTCAAAATCAGAAAGCTTCACTCCAGTGGATCCCTTTGTATCAGAAAACCTTTTGCTCCCAAACCGTGTGACCCGCATGGGTGCCAAGTTAGAGCAAGCAGTCAATGCCTGCCTAATGAAAGGTTTTAACCATGCAGCATGGCCAGAGAGGGCACATGCTGAGTTAGCAATGGACCATTATTTCCCCAGTCCTGCAGATATAGCAGCACAGCGCTGGCACTGCTCTGCCAAGGAGCTGCAGGGACAGTCTGTTTTCTGTCCCTGCACAGCTGGGAACAGCTTGCAGAGGAAGGGACAGCCTGTAACTGCCTGAGCTTCGTGGGGCTGGCTAGAGAAAGCTCCCTCAGTCCTCACAGGGAAAGCTGCACAGGATAACTGTCACGTGGCTGGGTTTCTGCTGCTCAGACTGCAAACAGGGAGATGTTTCCCAGGAAGCTGCCCAACCCATGGACATTTGCATACGAAGCCTAGAACGCAGAGAGCAGGTGCTATTCAGGAGCCAGAGCCTGCAGCAGGCAGGCAGTCATGGTGAGAGGGGTGCAGGGACAAGGAGGGGAGCACACTGCAGAGACGAACATCCTATCCCCCCAGCTCCACCAGCTCTTCCTTCCAGCCTGTCTCTCCCCCAGTCTTGCTCCCCTGAGAGCAGCACAGGGCAGACAGTAGCTGCAGAAGGCAGAGCAGCTCCCTGAGCACACAGCTCACGCAGGGCACTGGTGTGCCCAGCCACGGTGCCAGCCCTGCTGCAGGAAGGCTAATCTGGAGGCTGGAGAGGAATCAGTCACTGACCCAGGGGAGGGGAAGCCCATTTATTTAAGGCTAGTTGAATTTGGCACACACAGAACATCACAGTAACGCACTGGAGGCTAACGGTTTTGTTTTGTTGTTTTTTTTTTTTCTTTTTCTCTACAGACATACAAGAAAACTCTATGCAACTCCCATGTACACATTACACAAAGGAAACAGCTTTAATCAACCACTGGTGAAACATGGAAGCTTTCAAGCTCTCTGTAGCTGGCACAGGAATGTTCTCTACCCCCCATACAAAAGGCATTTCAGGTCAAACTTTCTAGCAGGTGATATTTCCATGCATTTCTACAGAATTAAAGAAGCTAACAGACAAAAAGCCCAGATCAAGCCATATTAGTCAGGCTGATTCATTCTACTAGGTTAAATCAATGGTAATTATGGACAAATGGACCAAGTGACCAAAGACTGGGGCTGAAAATACCACTTTTCAAGTTGTGGTTCCTTCTCATTTTATTACCGGTAACTGAAAAGCTCTGATATAAGAATCTGCATTTATAAAAGCCTCAGAAGCATCTGATCCACTAGTAGGTGTGTATTAGAGACAGTAAGGTAGTTCTAAATTAAACTATGTCAACAGAAAAAGCAATTTTTATAGAATCACTCAGGCTGAAAGAGACCTCAAGACACTTCATAACAAGGAAACTGAACCTATAGAACAAGTGAACCTTTAAATATTATTACTGCACCAGGAGTTTACAAGGGAGGGGATTAGGACTATTTCTCCAGAAAAGTGTGTCTGTTTTATCTTTAACTTCAGAATTAGGCTAAAGCAACCTTTTGGTACCAAACTGGGTTAAACTCTTAGTGCTTGCAG